CTCCCAGTGAACCCCTGGGCAGGTTGATGAGCCTCACTGCACCTCTGTTTTCTGATCTGGAAAATGAGGTTCCATGGACTAACGTCTCTGGTCTCTTTGGATGCTGACATTTCATGACTATAAATGGACCAGAGGTCTTTTTTAATTTAATTCCCAGACGTGGCCATGTTTAAGCTATCTGGCAGTGTCCTGTGACTAATGGGGCAGTTCCTCTGGCCCTTGTATGACTTAGGCAAGAGGTGTGTCTCCTTTGCTGGTGGTATTTGTCAGTTGTGAGGAAACAGTGGTGGAACCTCCAAGTTTCAAGGCTAAAGTGAATGGTGGGGGATAGGGGAGATTTCAGGGCTGTGTAGGAAGCATGGTTCCAGGTTGTATCATGGCAAGACCAACACGTGTTTGCTGGCAGAGAGGGGCCCTGGGATAGCAAAGGCTGGGTCAGCGAAGCATTCATTTTAAGAATATTTATATTTCAGTTAAGGGAGTTCCAAGTCCATGTCTGTCTGTTTAGCAGAAGGGATTGGATGAATTCATTCTGGATGAGAGGAATGGCTACAGGGACAGTGTCTGCATGTGCCTGGCCCAAAAGCACATCCTTGGACATTAACTATCCCTGCCCCCAACCCCTTGACCCCATCTCTAAGAAATGGAGAATTTCCAAAATTGGAGAAGAACATGCCAGCTGCAGTAGTTGTTGCAGAACTCCACTTCAGAACAGGAAGCAAGGGAGACTTTTTCCAGGAAAGGAGACCTCCCTTCTTCCCTAGATGAGCCAAAAAGAGTATGACCCTTTGAGGGACAGAGCGAGTGGCTGGGGTCTAAGTAACAGACAGTCCCAGAATTCCTGTACACTCACGCCACTTATATCTGTTTTTCAAATTATTTAATTCCTTCATCACGAATTCAGTTTTTAGATGATAATGCTAGGTTTTCAGAATTGAAATTCAAAGGGATTCTCTGTAAAGTATATTCAATATAGAATTCTGAGATGGTGGCTAGTATATCAAAGAGGGATGAAAACATGTATTAGTTCTAATACTGACACATTGACTTGTAGGCTGAAAAATAGCAGGCATTCAAAATACATCCATAAGTTAAATTTCCAGAGTCCTGGTGCAATATGGGACTTGCTTTAACAGCATTATCACATATAAAATTCCTTTTTTTTCTGCTTTGAAGATCCCTAAAATTGGGCTTCTTACACTGAGTGTGATAAGAAAGGTTTTTGTCATAGTTTAATGGCAGTGTTTACCTCTCAAAGTACATAGAATGATGGTACCTTTAAAATTCAACAGCATCTTAGGTTCCGTCTTGGTGTCATGGGAGAGGGCTTTAAAATGAAGTTGGAAGAGACAGAATAGAAGAAAACTTAAAATTATTCTCTCTCCCTTCAGCTGGCACTAGATTCCCCAGGAAAAATACCTTTGAATTTTTTTGAACAGTCATATTTGCATAATTGCCATTTTGTAGGCTCTTTGTTCTTTTTGTTGTCTCATCCCACCCCCATATCATTTTCAGGGGGCAGGTTGAAGGGTACATTCCTTCAATGGGTTAAGTATTCTCCTTGAAGCACAGACTTGGGAGAATGAGAGGAATATTCAAATCTAAACAAAAAACCCAGCTCACTTCCCTGTCACGACAGACTTGAGAAGGATTTTTTTATTTCATGTGTTTTGATTTTACCTTGAAAGTGTTTAACTGGGTGTTCCAAGAAGATGCACATACTAGCTGCCATTTCAGAGGCCCCCTAGGACTTAAGCCTTCTCGTCCTCCCTGCCTTTTCTCCCACCAAGTAGATTATGATCTATGAAGGGATAAACTGCTAGTTAAATAATTCTTGAACCACAAATACTTCTCCTCAATTTATCTGCTGTTTTGTGCCATTCCATGCGGCTGCTGATATTTTAGGACTGTGTCATGTGACCTCTATTACCGTTACAAATAAGCATGGCACTGTTAACCATAGCTTCAGCAGAAGTCCCAGTTAGCTGCTGGGGGATAGGGGCGGAGATTCTGGGTCCCTGCATGTCTAGACTGGCATGCGCAGAGCAGTGGTCTCTACTGATGGGGAATGAAGTTAATGTGGTCACTTCGCAGAGATGAGAGATTGAAGTTTACCCAAGTGAACCTAGGTGTTTTGCCGTTTTATTAACTATGCAGGGAGGGCATGAGGAGAAAGCCAGAGCTGGCCTGGGCTGGGCAGCTGAATAGCCAGAGAATGTTTCCCTGAAGACCATGATGTAAAACATGTTATCATTTCCTTCTGAATGATCTTTTATATTATTAAGAACCATTGAAAAAACAAAACCAATAAACCTTGCCAATAGTCTGCCCACTGCAAGATGCCTGTAGGGTCTAACTTTTCAGTGCTCAGTCTTAATTGTCTAAATTTTAATTTGCTTTTAAAAGAACAGAAACCTATCTTTAGGGGAAAAAAAAGTTGCTTGTGGTCTCTGCCACTTCCTGTCTACCTTTTCCCTTCCCATCTTCTCATCTCTCTATACACTGCAGCCTGGGGTGAGAGACAGCGAGGGTTAGTTCTCAGCTGCTTTGAGGTGAACACATTCCTCAGACTAAATTTGGCACCAGGCTGTTCTCAACCCACTTTTTTTTTTTTTTTAAACAAAGGCTGGACCTGAGGGGCCCACTGCCATCAGCCTGCTTCAGCCTGTCGTCACCAGGAGTCTGTTGCCCACCCTCGTTCCTCTCTGTTTTTCTTTTATATCAGATTCTGGAGGAAAAACAGCTGGATTCTAGCTCCATTACTCTGTTCCTCCCCATTTCTGTTTTGCAAATAAACTTTAGAATGTTTCTGACTTGTTAGGATTTCTGTGAAGAGATCTATGACAGTAGAATTAAATATTACCTCTTTATGAACGGGAACGTGTTGTAGAGCTCTTCAGTTTACCTGCCACCTGAGAGAATTTGTTTCTGGCCCAGCTCCAGCACAGCACAGGAGTTCTCCCAGAAGATAAGATGTCCTGCTCACTGGGATGATTAATCCTGAGAATGTTCTTCTTTACATCACTAAACAGCTGTGAAAGGACTGAGTCCAGATATTTGCCTGCCATCTCTCCCACTTCAAGATAGATCCTTTTCCCATAATCAGAAGATTCTCTGATTCTGCTTTCCCGAAGCCCTGCCTTTCTGGTCTGCCTGCTGATTGACTTTTGTGATCCAGTTGATCTGTGGGGCTCTTCCCCACCCAAGGATCAAACCTGGGTCTTCTGCATTGCAGGAGGATTCTTTACCATCTGAGCCACCAGATTGCCCATGGGGATCGAGATGGCATCAAAGGGGAAGAAGGAAGCCAAACAAATCCTTCCTTCCCAACCACTTCTTTGTTTTTAGAGGCGTTCTCCATCATACAGCCCTCGGTATTGCAGCACGGTGTTCCTGGGGGCACTCAACTAGCACACCTCAGTGACTCCTGCTTTTCTGTCTCACTATCAGATGCCTCTTTCTTTGCTAGCTACTTGTGGCACCTCAGGGGAGACTGTCCTTTTGGACATTCCTTTAAAAAGATGATCACTCCACTAAGTTCTCTTTGTGTTCAGTCAACTCCTTAGATGGAAATCATTCAAATTCTAGTAGCATTGATCATGGAGCTGCATGGTCATGCGTGTCAGTTACAAAATTGCCAGTGGGCTTTTGAGATAATATCAGTTTCTTCCCAGCCAGAGTTCACCCATGCCAGCTCCGGTTTCCCTCTCAGTGTTCTTATCTGCAGTTACTTGTCTATGTAGTGAGGGCTGTAAGTTACTGTCAGCCTGCCACCATCATGGGGGAGACTTGGTTAGCCATCGGCAGGAAGACACTGCTGTTTGGCTGGGCTGAGCATACGTATTCATCAGTATTAATTCTCTCCAGTCCAGTTGCCAGATACCCAGTCGATTGTAGCAATTCTCCGACAAGTCAGTGAAAACCAAAGCTTCTAGAATGTGCCATTAAAATTAAACAGAGGAAATGAATCCAAAATCAGATTAATGAGAATTTATGTCTCAAAAGTTCACACAAACTTAAATCCAAAGCCTGGGGCCAGAGTAGTAGGTGCAGTGACTTTTAAAGCCCCTTCCACCCCTGAGATTTTGGGATTAAAATGGCTAAGGTGTTGGATTTCTAGGCTGAAACAGGAGAGGTTACTAGTGGGCAGCCAAACCTGTCTGCATCCCCTAGAAGGCAACTAAGAAGATATCTTGTGATCTGTTACACGCACACATGCATACACATGCACACTTAAATGTACATGCCAGGTTTTTAAAGTGAAGGGTATCCAGATTTGGAATATCCTTTTGTAAGCAGCTGTAAGTTTTGGACCAAGGGATTTTTGGTTGGTTGGTTTTTTTTGTTTCTCTTTTTTGAGTATGTAATACAAATTGATGATTCAGTTTTTTAAAACATTTTCTGTGTGCATATGTGTGTGTAAAAAAACAGAAAAAGAGGTTTCCCTTCCACTCTTTCTCCATCAGCCCAGTTTCCAGAGTCCCCTTCCTCTGCCAGCACACGCCCCAGGTAGCCACTGTTACTGGTTCCCATGGAGCCTTACAGCGTTTTAGTATGTATGGTTTAACTTGAGGCAAATAAAAACCTTATTTCCTCCACCCCTGCTTACACAGACAGTCGCGCGTCACATGCACATGCTGTTCTGCACCTTAACCTATTGGTCTCTCTGGGAGAAAGACTTCTTTTCAGAAGTCTCAGTAGAGAGCATCTTTCCCCCTTTTTAAAAGCTGCACATTATCCCATTAATATTTAGTCCCCTGGTCACATGCATTTGGGTTGTTTCTGACCTCTTGCTATTACAGCCAGTTGAGCCCAAGGGTTTGAAGGGACTTGTGGGGCAGATGGCCATGCTGGCATTAGGTGAGAAGGAAGGAAGGTCCCAGGGTGTCAGGTGGGCCCCAGAGCTGCCGAGCTCAGGTTTCCCCCTGTGTGTGTGTGTGTGTTGCCTGGAGATGACACTGTGTATTGAATGCCCTCTTTTCTCCCATTTTTTCTTTCAGGGACAATTCAAGCTTTCGAAATACAAAAATCACCTTGTGAGAGTACACAAGCTGGCAATAATCCTTTTCTGTATGTGTGTGTGTGTCGAAGCGGATGGGAGGTCTCCGGCTGGCCCCCTATCTGCTCACCGAAGCGACGTCCCCGAGCCGCGTGCTCCCCTTTTGCACTCATTCCTGGAGGACGGATTCCGCTAGACACCCTCCAGCGTCGCTGACTTTATAAAGCGGAAAAAACGGAACACGTGACTTTGTAATAGACAGACTTTTTTTTAACGGGGTTCTATAGGGGGGAGTCCAGCCTTTCGTCTTGCTGTGTGCTGTCCAGGTGCCTCCCGGGCACTCTGTCGTGCTCGCCTCTGCTGTACAAAGGGCATCGTGACCACGTGTACAAGCAGAGCTGTCGACTGAGAGTGAGCAGTATTATGAATGTCTGTGAGTCCAGGAAAAGCATTTTGTTGGAGAGTCCCAGAATAGCTATAAACGCTCTCTTCTAGATCTGCCATTAAATTATTGGGACATTTTGTTTATTTCACACCCCTTGTCCCCCAAGGCCACTCTTTTGGAATGTGTGTTACTAATTCTGTAGTTTCCTGCCTTACGCCCTCCAGTCTTCCCTCCTGTGGGACTCTTTCCTTTTAGGCACTGCTGCACTTAGAATTGTAACCAGTGGGCCACACAGGTCTCACTGAGGCAGCTTAGAAGGTATGATTGTAAATTAAACTGCACCAAACTGCAGTTTGATGAGGAGCGAGGTTGTACTAGAGGTTCCAAGGGCAGGATTTGGAGCTGAGGGTGTTTTCTGACCCAGGTTCCCAGATGGGCAGGACCTGTTGTGTCCAGCCTGTTGCTGTGGGTTCTTGCATTCCCCTCGTGGAGGAAGGGAAGCAGAAATTGGCTGCTGCCAGGTGTTAACATGGTCAGTTCTGTGATCTCAAAACTGGGACATCTGGAGAAAAGGTGACCGTGATGGACGGCTTTCTTTGCATGGCTCTTCCTGTCTGCAGTGGTGGAGAATGCTGCTGTCAGTCCTCATCACCCGGTAAATGTGTTAGCTGGTGTGTGCTGATCCAGGAAGCCCAACACAAACCTTGTGGGCTGTTGCAGGCAGGCTCTAAAAATGACCAGGCACATGCCAGAGAAGCCGGGTGATCTGACTCCAGAAGGACTGAAGTCAGAGAGGTCAGAGAGCACCTAGGGTTGGAATAAGTACCGAGGACCAGTCCTCAGCAACCTCCGAGGAGCGCCATCTTACTTGGCTCTTGTGAGCACAGATTGCAGTACCTTAAATTAAGGCCTCCCCTAAAACCTATCCTTGTAGGCCGGGGTCCTTGGCCACCTGGTCTCAGAGAAATCATAGGAGAGTAACAGGCATTTCCTTCTGGTATTTATATTACTCTTCCTACTTTCCAACTCCTGAACGCTCTCTCATTACCACTGTCTTGGGGTGCTTATTCCTAAAAGAACAAAGGCATATAAAAGAACAGGGGCCAAAAGGGAGGTGCTTCCATTGCAGGTGAAGTTAGATCAGAGAAGGTCTAGCAGCAATTTAAACTCCAGGAGTATGAAGAATAAACTCTAGTGCCCAGACAGTTGTGAAGGGCTCAGAAAAATACAGGAGCAACGTTGGCCCAAGCAGGGGACAAACGCTGCCTCCTGAGTTTAGACCCCAGGGAGGTCTTCACTTTTGCCTAAACTCAGATTTGCCATGAAAATCCCAAAGAGAGCGGACGTTTGGATTTGCCCTCTGGGCATCTACCTGACTGACTGTTAGTATGTGTGTGTGGGTTCACATGTTTGTTACATGTTCACTAGTGAAGGTTTTGTCAGACCGAGTGCTTAGTTGTCCATATTTGTGGGCGTTTTTTGGGTGGGTGGGGGTTCTCGTTTTAATTTCTTAGTCTCGTGTTTTCTAGAGCTGCTGATATCACTCCCTGCCCCCTGCCTTCCTCTTTGTCTTTGTAGTATTTGAAAGTTATTTTTTCCCCATCAAAAATATGCTGGCTAGAACAAGTGTTATTTCTGCTAGGCAGTGTCTCACCCTAGAACGTTCCAGATCTTCTGCCTAACAGCTTTAAACCAGGGATCAAAGAGTCAGTTCTCCAAACCACCTGTTTTCCACACTAGTTTGCGAGGTCTTTTCAATTCCTAATGACTCCATGGACCTCTGTGACACAGACAGGACGCAGTTGCGGTTATGGTGTCACCATTTCCGGAGAAACAGGAAGCAAGGTACACCAGGCATCTGCCAACCTAGCAGACGTGTGGGGTGGCTGCTGGAGGTGGGGCGCCCCCTGTGCCCAGGCCGGCTATACCCAGAACCCCCAGAAACTGGCCCCACACCTCGCCAGTGCTCTTCTCCTCTTACCCTCCTGTTCGTGTGTGTGTGTGTGTGTTTGCCCTGTGACATTGGCAGTCACAGTTTTCCACCCAGAGAGACGCTTGTGGTCCATGATGCTCCAAGAATGAATTTCCAAGTATTTGCCAGTGGAGGAGCAGAGGCTGTGACAAGAGTGATTTAGTGTTGCACTTTCAGAGCAATTGTCTACTGCAGTAATAAATGGAAAATATCAGCAAGAACCTGGTTGTGGACTCTTTAATACAGTGGAAAATGGGGAGACTAGTAGTGTTTTGCTTCCTGCTTCTGCCCTTCAGCACCTGAGTCTTTTTTTTAAGTGCATTCCAGAACTAAATATGTGGAAGAGTCCAGACACTGCCAATATCATTTACATGAATGTAATATCAGAATACTGTTCTCTAATTGATATTAATCATTGCCAAAACTTAATTTACATTTTTAATACCAAAATATATTGTTAATTTTAATTCTTAATTTGGAATGAGGAATGTTGGAATTCAAAGATTTAGATTTGGAAATAAGATACCACCCCAGGTCTTAGCCTGGAATGTTTTATTTAGCCCAAAGGTGGGCAGTGACCCATTGCCCATGTGAAATACCAGGGGAGAATGAAACTTAATGCAAAGCCTTACAAAAGATTTAAAGCAGTGTAGTTTTGAGACTGCATTTCAATAGAAATTTCCTTTCTGTCTATCAGCCATGGTCCAAGTGGAAGCACAAACCAGGCAAGTTATTTTAACAAGATGATCAAATTGTTGACTCAGCCACTACAAAGGCCTAAAGGAGACAAAACCAAGGAGGTAGTGACTCCAGAGGGAGGCGCCTCGGGGTGGATGCCGCTCACCTGGTGCTGGTGTCTGAGGGTGGAACGAAACTGGCCTGAGCTTGTTCAGCTTCAGGAACACACTGCTACCGCTGAGATGAGGCCAGAGCTCGTCCCTTCTCCAGCACTCAAGTGCACCCTGCTGGAGAAATCCAGTGGCCCGCCAACTGCCAAAGTAGAAGTCTCTGCTCAGGGAGCTAAGATCCTACAAGCTACAAGGTGGTGCCAAAGAATAATAAGAAGAAAAGACTCCCTTCTAATGAGGGCATGTGTGGAAAATAAAAAATAGTAACTGTTAGTGGAGAAGCCTGACAGAGACCCTCTTCGCCAAGTGATCCAGGTTCATGGCACCACTGTGTCGTGCTGACGCCATGTGTGCTGGTACGTGCTGAGGACACTTAATGTCTTCCCCCCAAATTCATAACCTGTCTGCTCATGAGAAAACATCAGACAAATCCACACTGAGAGACAGTCTACAGAATACCAAAACGCTTGACCAGTACTATTCCCAAGGGTCAGCATCATGAAAGAAAAGGAAAGATCCAGAAACTGTCAGATTGAGAGAAGGGAAGGAGACATGACTGATTAATGTGGAATCTTGGGCAAGAAAAAAGAGGACACCAATGGGAAACGTGGGGAAATCTGAAAAAAGCCTGAAGTTTTGTAAAGAGTAATGTATCAGGGAGGGCTTCCCAGGTGGCATCAGTGGTAAAGAACCCACATGCCAAGGCAGGCGATGTTTGAGAGATGCAGGAGATGTTCAATCCCTGGGTCAGGAAGATCCCCTGGAAGAGGGCATGGCAATGCACTCCAGTATTCTTGCCTGGAGAATCCCATGGACAGAGGAGCCTGGCAGGCTACAGTCCATAGGGTTGCAAAGAATTAGACAGGACTGAAGCGACTTAGCACACTCACAATGTATCAGGGAATTCCCTGGGGATCCAGTGGTTAGAACTCTGTGCCACTGCAGGAGGCATGGTTTCGATCCCTGGTAGGGGAACTAAAATACCACATGCATGCCCCCCCCCACAAAAAAAAGCAGTGTACTAAAACTCACTTCTTAGTTCTGATCAGTGTACCATGGTTATGTAAGATGCTAATACTAGGAGAAGCCAGGTGAAGGGTATATGGGAACTTTCAGTACTATTTCTGCAACTTTTGGATAAATCTAAAATTATTTCAATATAAGAAGCCCCAGAAGTTTCTCGAGGGGCCATGCTTGATTTGAGCATCCAGATCTTGCTCTATGGTGGCGCCCGGGTTCCTGCTTCCCAGAGCAGGTTCCAGCAGCTCCATCAGCGCCAGCACCAGGGGGAACGCCTGCAAGCCTGTTACTCAGGGAAACTCTGCCTGTTTTCCACCCACCAGCCTCCACCTTCCCCAATGCCTGTCCTAAGTCAGCACCCAGCCTGCAATTGCTGTAGGTTTCCAGCCTGACAGTAAATCAACATGAGCCCCACTTGACACGAGGGAAACATTTCCATGAGCTCAGATTTTTAAAAATGCTTATAAAGCTGAACGGGGCCACCCCCGACCCTAACCACAGTGGGAGGGGAGGAACAGTAAGACCCAAAGGAGCAGAGGGTAAAGAAAGGGGCCCCAGAGAGCAGGTGTGGCTGCTGAAGGACCAGCAGAAAGAGGACATGGTGGGAGCCCCAGGAGTGGAAGGCAGAGCCCTTTCCCATCAAGGAGCCTCACAGACTCCCCCCACCAGCCCTGTACAGGCTCTGGGTGAGATACACAAGGCAGGCGGCTGGAGGCCAAAGGAAGGGGGCACCCCACCGGCTGATGGGCCAATGGTAAAACTGTCTTCTCCCAAGTTAAGGCTTGGTAAGGTGGTCACAAGTAAACCATACCAGGGGGAAAGGCAGGAAAAGGGCACCATACCAAAACTGGACCTCTAGAACAACCACCGGTAAGCTGAAGTCCCAAATGGGTGCAGGCCCACCAAATGACCACGGGCACCAGAAAGGATCATTTAATTGACGATCAGAGCATAAAAAGATTAAGGGCCAATTGGTGCGAGATCGTATTGTCAGAGGAAAATCGAACTGTCTCCCAGCTTGGAAAGGGTGGGCCCAGCAGCCTGGGAGCAGACAAGAGCCCAGAAATATGGATGCTCAGCACTAAGCCAGGCAGGAGATAGGAGGTGTGCTGACAACTGGAGAAAGAGAAACCTTATTCATTTCTCTGGAAGAAGGGAGACTAGCTAACTACACACAGGGTTAATGCAGATGGTGGGTCTGGTGGGGGAAGGCGGGTGGCCACAGAAGTCCTCTAGTCTGGACAAAGGAACAGTGACAGGTGAAGGGCTTCAAATGGCTCATTGACTATGGAAAAATGGCCTTGTGCCATGGAACCAGGACCTCTGGGTAGATAGAGACAGGCTTTCAGTTTCAGAAAAGCTTCCTGATAATTTGAGCTGTCTATAGATGGAGTGACTGGTGCAGGCAGTGCAGGTAACGAGCAGAGGCCAGAAGGTCACGTATGTGGGGATTTACCGGGAAGATTCCAATGGCCCATTCTAGGGTAGACCAGATGGCCTTTAAGGCCACAGTCATCCCTGGGATCTATTTGACAGTCTTAGAATTCAGAGAGCAACTTCTCTACCAACTCCCATAGCCACCCTGCTTCTGGAGATACAATGGCGTCAGGCTCTCAGCCTGTTGTTAGTTGGTGAATTACACCCCAGCACCAGTGACAACCAGCAGCCTGCCAGTTTGGCCAGGAAGGTGCTAAATGTCCAGGCTCTGAGCCCTTGGCCTCCTGGGAAATTCTTACAGCATATTTATAAAGTGACGGCTCGGTGGTGAGCTTTTCCAGGCTGCAGCTGCTAGGAAGGGGTAGGATGAGTGGTTTGAAACCCACCATAAGCTGGGCAGGAAATTCCTCAAGACACAGGTCAACACGAAGCAACATAATATCTAACCGCTCCAGCACCTGTCATGCCTCCGCCCTCTCTCCCAGAAGCCCAGGGCTCCAGCAAAGCACCTCCTCTGGGGCCCTTCCTTCCACAGTCCCCTCTCCAGCCCAGGCAAGCTGACGCCTGCCCCCTGGAATGCCCAGCTATGCCCAGCCCACAGCACCATCATATGGTGCCTCTGCCACACGGTCTCATTCTCCCTGGAATATGCTTTATACTCCTTTCTAAGGAAGGGTGTTTTTCTCCTTATTTTAATAAGTGCTCAATAGATAAACAAGCTGCTACATCTATACAGAGGGATGTTATTAAGTAACATAAAAAGAAATGAACTATCAAGCTATGAAAAAACATGAAGGAAACTTAAATGCAAGAAACTAAATGAAAGAAGCCAGTCTGAAGAGGCTACATACCATGTGTTTCCATGACATGCTGGAAAAAATAAAATTATGGAGACAGCAAAAAAAAAATAGTGGTTGCAGGGGAGAAGGGAGAATAATGGGGGGCGGGTACAGGATTTTTAGGGCAGTGAAACTGCTATTCTGTATGATACTATTTAAGAGGGGGTAACTTTATTATACACCTGTTAAAATCCATAGGATGTGCCACACCAAGAGTGAACCCTAATGTAAAGTATGGGCTTTAGTTTAATAATAATGTACCAATACTGGCTTGTCAATTGTGACAAATACACTACACTAACTAAGATGTGAAAAATACAGGAAGTTGGGGAGGGTGGTAGAGAGGATCTAGCAACTCTCTATAACTTTTGCTCAAATTTTCTTGTAACCCTAAAACTGCTCCATTACAGGAAGTACAAAAAGGGATGACGTGATCTAAAAAATCCATTATCTCACTCAGAAAAACATTTTTACTACCAAGGTATGTGAAACCTTTACTCAGTTTGGTTCAGTTTAGTCACTCAGCAGTGTTTGACTCTGTGACCCCATGGACCGCAGTATGCCAGGCTTCCCTGTCCATTACCAACTCCTGGAGCCTACTCAAACTCATGTCCTTCGAGTCGGTGATGCCATCTAACCATCTCATCCTCTGTCGTCCTCTTCTCCTCCTGCATTCAATCTTTCCCAGTATCAGGGTCTTTTTCAATAAGTCAGCTCTTAGCATCATGTGGCCAAAGAATTGGAGCTTCAGCTTCAGCATCAGTCCTTCCAATGAATAGTCAAGATTGACTTCTTTTAGGATTGACTGGTTTGATCTCCTTGAAGTCTAAGGGACTCTCAAGAGTCTTCTCCAGCACCACAGTTCAAAACACACTGTTCATGGGTCCACTTGGGGATTTTCTGTTAAGTTCCTTGGGTATGAATGATTGTTCTCTCTTTTTTCTTTTACCTTTAGAAACGACTTCTTTTTTCTTAGCTGTGATACTGCATTTACAATATGCAAAAACACAAAACTATCCACGGTTTTTTGTCACTAAATGGCTATTTCTTATGCCTATACATGTGGTTTTAATAACCATAGTTTAAAAATACATTTTAGTAATTGTAAGAAAGTCTGCTATCACAATTATTCTTTTTAAATTTCTTGACTGTTTTCATACATGTATTAGAATTTATTTTTAATTAATTAAAAAGAATTAATGGAATTAAAATCTGAATATTTTAAGAACATTATATATTATTTTCAAGGCCATAGTGTATATTCTTCTCTAATCAAGTCTGTTATGTCTCTCTGCGAAGTGCTATTGTTTAGTTTTATTTTTGTTTACTTTTAAATCTAGGTTCTATTCATATTTGTTAAAGTCATTCATGTAATTCATACTTTATATCTTACTGTTACTGTGAATTTTTTCCATTATATTTTAAACTAATAATATAGTGGAGGGAAGAAGTATTATTTTTGTAAATTTCTCTTTTATAATCACCTTTGCTGAAAATCAGTTTATTCTAAAGTTTCTTGAGTTTGTAGGGTGTGTCTGTGTGTGTGTGTCTGTAGAGGGTGGTTGATTCTTTGGACTTTTCCAGCTAGATGTATCATTTTCATCTCCATCTTCCTATTTCCATAGTTCCTCAAGACAGGAGGTACAGAAGTTCTTTGTCCTGATCCTGCAGCTTTTCTGTAACTTTGAAGCTATTTTACCTTAAAATGTTGAAACAACTAGAGGATGGGGCTGCCGGCTCCAGTGAAGACTAGAATATTCTCCTTCCTTCCCTGAGAGCATCAGACAGTCCACCTACGCACCCTGTCAGAAACAGCTGGATAACTAGATGAAATGCTCAAATGGCTTTGGGAAGTGGGTATCGCAGGAGAAGTGGGAGGAAATGAGATGAGTTCTATGGTGGCTTAGATGGTAAAGAGTCTGCCTGCAATGCAGGAGACCCGGGTTAGTTACCTGGACCAGGAAGATCCCCTGAAGAAGGAAATAGCAACACACTCCAGTGTTCTTGCCTGGAGAAGTTCATGACAGAGGAGCCTGGCAGGCTACAGTCCATGGGGTTGCAAAGAGTCGGACACGACCAAGCGACTAACACTTTCTTTTCTCTTCTTATTCTCTTTTTCTGTCTGGAAGGTAAAATCCAAATTGGCACAAAGAAGAGAAAACCAAGCAGAGCCCAGTAATCTCACTGACTTAAAAGAGTCAAGATGGAAATTTGCAGAGGTCAAGACAACCAGGACTGACAGGACAGAGCAAGCAGGCAGACAGAAAGCAGATGAAGAGCTCTGCATGGGGTCCCCCGAGTTTTGGCTAAATACGAATTGTACACACATGGGGGGAAATGCTATGAGGCAGATGAAAACACTTCCAGGGAAGGAAAAATTACTGCAGAGCCAAACAATTCCCCAAACTCAGAAACATCAGGAATTGTATTTTATTCCCATCAGCCAAAGTGAAGAGATTTCACTGAATGCATAAGGTGTTGGGTAGAGAGTCCAGACATACCACACCTTAAAAGTGGGTTAAATTGGCCATAGAGGAAAGGCTAGACCAACCTTGAAAGAGCTTAAAAACAAGTCTTAAAAGATCAAAGTGATCTGCAAGTAAACTACTACTAACTGCTTCCCATAAAAATGCAAACACTCTTTATTAGGTGTTCTTTAAAGCCCCTTTCAGTCTTGAAAGTCCATGATTTTTCATGTTAACAGCTAATCTTTTTGAATTTTAGCTTTATTGAAGTATAGTTGACATATATAAGTGGTTCGTTATAGCCCATGGGGTCGCAAGAGTCGGACACGACTGAGCGACTTCACTGACATATATAAAGTGTACACTGTGGTGATTTGATATATGTATACATTGTGAAAGCATTCCCCATCTAGTTAATTAACACATCCATCATCTCACATAATTATCTTTTTTTCTTTCTTGTAGTTGTGTAGGGACACGGTAATTCTTCATTGCTGCCACTGGGTGGCAGTTGCAGTTTTAAAATTGCCTGCCAGGCAAGGATTGACTTGATTGTGTGGATCACAAAAAACTGTGGAAAATTCTCAAAGAGAAGGAAATACCAGAGCACCTGACTTGCCTCTTGAGAAATCTGTATGCAGGTAAGGAAACAACAGTTTGGACATGGAACATGGAACACTAGACTGGTTCCAAAGAGGAAAGGAATACGGCAAGGCTGCATATTGTCACTCTGCTTACACTTAACTTCTATGGAGAGTACATCATGAGAAACTCTGGGTTGGATGAAGCACAAGCTGAAATCAAGATTGCTGGGAGAAATAACAATAACCTCAGATATGCAGATGATACCACCCTTATGGCAGAAAGCAAAGAAGAACTAAAGAGCCTCTTGATGAAAGTGAAAGAGGAGAGTGAAAAAGTTGGTTTAAAACTCAACATTCAGAAAATTAAGATGATGGCATCTGGTCCCATCACTTCATGGCAAATGGGGAAACAGTGGAAACAAACAGACTTTATTTTGGGGGGCTCCAAAATCACTGCAGATGGTGACTACAGCCATGAAATTAAAAGACACTTACTCCTTGGAAGAAAAGTTATGAGCAACCTAGACAGCATATTAAAAAGTAGAGACATTGTTTTGCCAACAAAGGTCCATCTAGTCAAACCTATGATTTTTTCAAGTAGTCATGAATGGATGTGAGAGTTGGACTATAAAGAAAGCTGAGCGCTGAAGAATTGATGCTTTTGAACTGTGGTGTTGGAGAAGACCCTTGAGAGTCCCTTGGACTGCAAGGAGATCCAACCAGTCCATCGTAAAGAAAATCAGTCCTGAATATTCATTGGAAGGACTGATATTGAATCTGAAACTCCAATATTTTGGCCACCTTATTCAAAGAACCGACTCACTGGAAAAGACCCTGATGCTAGGAAAGATTGAAGATGGGAGGAGAAGGGGACAACAGAGGATAAGATGGTTGGATGGCATCACCGACTCGATGGACATGAGTTTGCATAAACTCTGGGAGTTGGTGATGGATAGGGAATCCTGGCTTGCTGCAGTCCATGGGGTCGCAAAGAGTAGGACATGACGGAGCAGCTGAATGGAACTGAACTGAACTCACTATGGCTCAGCTGGTAAAGAATCTGCCTGCAATTTGGGAGACCTGGAATTGATCCCTGGGTGGGGAAGATCCCCTGGAGAAGGGAAAGGCTACCCACTCCAGTATTCTGACCAGTTAGATACAACTGAGTGACTTTTTAACTTTTAAACCCATATTTGAGTTTGTCTTGTATAGAAGAGAGTATTGGTAACTAAAAGCTTGTAAGATCTCATTGTCTCCTGAAACCCTGGGATGTGGGTGAAGTCCGCAGCGGACTCACCTGGAACATTAGTGAGTGGGGTCCCCACACTGTCCCTCCTCTTAGGCTCCTGACTCACCTGTCCTCTCCCCTCCGAGGGGCGGGTCCAGTGAGGAGACCCACAGGGCTAGAGACACCTGAGCAAATTCTGCCCTGCACAGACCCTCATCTTTAAAGTTAGGGTCATAAGATCTGCCTTCTTGGTATACTCTAAACGTGGGACACCCCAGAACATCTTATTTCTAAAATAGAGATCCCCCAGCTCCATCTCCAGGGATCCTGATGCTGGTTAAAGTGAGGGTATTTCCCAGGTTACTGGGAAGACGAAATAAGACTCCAAGATTTGGGGGAAATCAAGTGAGGCCGTATATGGAAAGTTCCTAGTGCCATGTGCAGCACAGAGTAAGTGTTGGCTGATCGGGAGATTTAGTTGTTTTTACCACCAGGAGTTAGCAGCCCAGGTGCCTATGACTGTGCCTGTATATACTAGATACCAGTGTGTGCATGTGTGCTTATTTGCTTAGGTGTGTCTGACTCTTGTGACCCCATGGAGCGTAGCCTGCCAGGCTCCTCTGTCCATGGGATTTCCCAGGCAAGAATACTACAGCGAGTTGCCCTTCCCTTCTCCAGAGGATCTTCCCAACCCAGGGATCAAAACTGGGTCTCCTGCATTGCAGGAAGTTTGTTCACCATCTGAGCCAGCAAGGAATCCCAGATACCCAGTAAATACTGTCAAATGCATGAAAAAAAGAAAACCTTCCAGGCAGACCCTGAGGGTGGAGGCTCCAGACCCCATCCTTAAGGACAAGGGAAACAGTATATAACCTGCCTCACCAGGACCCCTACGTTCAGCTCCATGGTCATGGCCTTCATTGGTTCCTTCCTGGGAGTCTGCAGTGGCCTCATAAGTGGTCTCCCTGGCCTCATTTTGCCCTGAGTTAGAATCATCTTTCTAAACTGTAAAGTGTTTCTAGTATCTTCCCTCAGTTTTTGGCTCCCCACCTTCAGTTATCCTCCAGTTTTTGGCTCCTTTGTGTGTCGCGTCCCTGTTTTCTCTAGGAGGGCGAATGAGCAGGGAAATGCTTTGCAAAAACCTATGGGAAAGTTCTGGTGTGGAAAATCGACTCATAAATGATGCAGAGCTTTCTGAACTGCTAATGGGCTCTGGATTGGGTGCGCACAATGGTGAGTCACAAGGCGATTGGCCCAGATCCAACTATGGACACCAAGTCTACTCAACTCCGAGCGCTGAAGAATTGATGCTTGTGAACTGTGGTGTTGGAAAAGACTCTTGAGAGTCCCTTGGGCTGCAAGGAGATCCAACCAGTCCATCCTAAAGGAAATCAGTCCTGAATATTCACTGGAAGGACTAATGCTGAAGCTGAAGTTCCAATCTTTGGCCGCCTGTTGCGAAGGACTGACTCATTTGAAAAGACCCTGATGCTGGGAAAGATTGAAGGCAGGAGTAGAAGGGGACGACAGAGGATGAGATGGTTGGATGGCATCACCAACTCAATGGACATGAGTTTGAGTATACTCCAGGAGTTGGTGATGGACAGGGAGGCCTGGCGTGCTACAGTTCATGGTGTGGCAAAGAGTCAGGCACAACTGAGCAACTGAATGGAACTGAACTGCCTAAAGGGATTTTTTCAAAAGAAATTGCTTTCTGAGAAGAGGGTCTTTGAAATACTTCAGACTATTTGGAAATGTAGAGAAATTAATTTCCTTTGAAATTTAGACACAGATCATTAAGAAATATAACCTGGGGACTTCCCTGGTGGTCCAGTGGTTAAGAATCTGCCCTCCAACGTACAGAACATGGGTTGGATCCCTGGTCAGGGAACTAAGATCCCACAGGCTGCAGGGCAACTAAGCCTGTGCACCACAACTAGAAGGCACATACATCACAATGAAGACCCAGCCCAGCACAGAAAATAAATAAATAACAAATAAAAATTATTTTAAAAAAAAGAAATATAACCTGGAAGAAGTGTTTTTTTGTTTTTGTTTTTTTTTTTAGGTTTAAAGTTTTTATTGGAGTATATTTGATTACTTTCAGGTTTCAGCCAAGTAAACAGTTAACACTCACTTGGTGTACAGCCAAGTGAGTCAGTTAAACATAATACATATATCCACTTTTTTAAAGATGCTTTTCTCATATAAGTCATTACAGGATATTGACTAGAGTTCCCTGTGCTATATGGTAGGTCCTTATTAGTTACCTATTCTGTATGTAGTAGTGTGTATATTCAATCTCAGTCTCCCTATTTATGCCTCTCTGCCTTCTCTCCCTGTTGACTCTAAGACTGATTTCTACATCTGTGACTCTACTTCTATTTTGTAAATAAGTTCATTTGTTTTTTAAAAAAAGATTCCACATAGAAGTGATATTTGTCCTTCTCTGACTTATTTCTGGAGAAGGAAATGGCAACCCACTCTAGTATTCTTGCCTGGAGAATCCCAGGGACAGGGGAGGCTGGTGGGCTGCTGTCTATGGGATTACACAGGGTCGGACACGACTGAAGCGACTTAGCAGCAGCAGCAGACTTACTTCCCTCAATATGACAATCTCCACGCCCATCTATCTTGCTGCAAATGGCATTATTTTGTTCTTTTTTTTTTTTACAACTGAGTAATATTCCATGGTATATATGTATCGCATCTTCTTTATCCACTCCTCTGTTGATGGACTCAATGCATTTAAAAAATTACCTATTTAGTTTTGGCTGTGCTGGGTCTTCATTGCTGCTCGAGCTTTTCTCTAGTTGCAGCCTGGGCTATTCTTCCTTGCGATGGGCAGGTTTCTTATCTCTGTGGCTTCTCTGGTTGCAGAGTATTGGCTCTAGGGCATGTGGGCTTCAGTGGTTGCAGCACACAGCCTCAGTAGTTGTGGTGTATAGGCTTAGTTGCCCCATGGTACATGGAATCTTCCTGGACCAGGGAGTAAACATGAGTCCCCTGCATTGGCAGGCTGATTCTTATCCACTGCACCACCAGGAAAGTATGACTCAATGCATTTTAAGTAAGTAAAGATATATTCTGGAGTAAAGAAGGGAGGATCCAGCCCAGCCAGTGACTTTCCTGTCTTCAAAACTGCCCTGCTTATCCACCCCTGGAGGAATGAGCGAGAATTCTTTGGGATATTGCTTTATTCCTTGGTCACCCAGTGTGCAGATTTATTTTCCCTAGCCATTTCAGGCTGTATGCTTACTGAGGCCTAGTTACCTGGCTTTAAGATGCGTATGGAGCTAGATATAAACTGCTAAAGCTACCCAGGCCCCAAAGCCATCTGCTCTCACCAAAGCCTTGGAAAATGAAAGTGACCATGATGAGAAGGCTGGCCATCTTTTCTTACCTTAGGGAGAGCAGCCCCCAGACTGATTCTTATCATGAGATTCTGGGGACAGAGGGAATTTAGGCTTGCTGTTGTATAGTGAGCTGCAAGCTCAACTCTCTGAAGGCAGATTCTACACGTGATTTCTTTGTGTAAAGTATCTCCTCCTTTCAATGGAGGAAATGTTTTAACTCACATTTTTAATGGTAAAGAATTCCTCTTAATGATTTCTGTGTTGAATTTAAGTTCTTTTTAGGATGAGGAGAGAAGTCAACAGAGCATCTATAGTATTTTTGAAGTTATGTCATAAAAAGTATAATTAACATAGAAATAGATAGTATTTTTGTGAAATTTCCTACAATAATGTGTGATACAGAGAGATGTAGACAACTTTGACTTATGATGATTTCCTGGGGAGTTAGGGAAGGAGTTCTTTGTTAGTTCTTTAGGATAAATATTTACTAATGAAGCCTAATTTTGCTTCATGAATTTTTGTCATTAGTAGATGTGTTAACAGATCTTATTTTAATAATTATTTTTAAAAGTTTGCATGTTTAAAAATGAGGCTACCTGATATTGTCATACACGTGGGTGCAGAAGGAAAATGAATTTTCTGCTCTCATAGATGGAGAATGTTATTTTATTTTTGTACCTTGAAGTTATTTTTTTAAAAGGAGTTAATGTTGAAAAGAAACAAACTTTCTCTGACATTTACGAATAACCTCAGATATGCAGATGACACCACCCTTATGGCAGAAAGCGAAAAAGAACTAAAGAGCCTCAAAGAAGGTGAAAGAGGAGAGTGAAAAATCTGGCTTAAAACTCAGCATTGAAAAAACAAAGATCATGGTATCTAGTCCCATCACTTTATGGCAAATAGATGGGGAAACAATGGAAACAGAGACAGACTTTATGTACTTGGGCTCCAAAATTACTGCAGATGGTGACTGCAGCCATGAAATTAAAAGTCGCTTGCTCCTTGTAAGAAAAGCTATGATAGCCAATCAGCATATTAAAAAACAAAGACATTACTTTGCCGACAAAGTCCGTCTAGTCAAAGCTATGATTTTTCCAGTAGTCATATATGGTGTGAGAGTTGGACTGTAAAGAAGTCTGAGCACCGAAGAATTGCTGGCTTCGAACTGTGGTGTTGAAGACTCTTGAGTGTCCCTTGGACTGCAAGGAGATCAAACCAGTCAATCAAGCCTGAATATTCATTGGAAGGACTGATGTTGAAACTGAAGCTCCAATACTCTGGCCACCTGATGCGAAAAACTGACTCATTGGAAAAGACCCTGATGCTGGGAAAGATTGAGAGCAGGGGGAGAAGGAGACAACAGGATGAGATGGCTGGAGGGCATCACTGATTTAATGGCCCTGAGTTTCAGCAAGCTCTGGAAAATGGTGAAGGACAGGAAAACTTGGCATGCTGTAGCCCATGGAGTCACAAAGTGTCGTACATAACGACTCATAGGGACTGAACAGCATCTTTGCTTTACCTCTGATTTTTTTTCTTTCTCCTTTACCTCTAATTTTTTCTCTTTCTCCATATGTGCAGTTATATATGTATATAATTTTAATATAACTTTAAATTTTTGTAGTTTTTTTCTGTTCCATTTGAGAGTCTGTTACAGACCTCATGCACCTTTTCCTCCAAACGTTTCAAATGTTATTTTCTAAGAATGAGAACATTCCTTTACATAGTCACAGTAAAAATTTCAGAATTATAGAAAAGTAACATTGGTATAATACTATTGTCTAATCCATATCTCATATTCAAATTGTTCTAATTGTCTCTTTAAAGTATCTGATAACTTTTTTTTTCTTGTTCAGGATGGAATTAAGAATCATACTTATGCTTAGTTTTTATGTTTCTTTAGTTTCCCTTAATCTGGGATGGTTCTTCAGCCTTTGTCTTTTGTGAAACTGGTGTTTTTGGTGACTATGGTAGATTGATTTTGTGTCTGTCAATTTGGACTTACCTGACTTTTTTTCATAATTAATTTCAGTTTATGCATTTTTGTTAGGAATATAATGTAAGTGATACTGTGTCCTTGTTTGTGTATCTCATCAGGAGGCACGTGGTGCCAGTTTGTCTCATTATTAGTGATGTTACCTAAGTCAGTAACAGCCGGGTGGTGGGGATGCATAGGGCAAGGCGAGCGGGAAAGGGCACATCAGAGTGCTTTGCGCCATCCTTTCCACATCTTCACCAACCTTGAGGCTCCCGTATATTTGCTTATTCATTCATCTGTTGATGGACATTTGTGTTGGTAAATATGATAGCCACATGTCAGGTATGAATAAAGTTACTGTGCATATCTTATACTCATCTCAGGGTAGAAATCTTCTTTGGTGAATGTATGTCTAGCAGTGGATTGTGGGGTCACCGAATAGGTGTATATTTAGATGTAATACATAACTGCTAAACGGTTTTTTGAAGTGGTTGAACTAATTTGCAGAAATGGAGTTATTAATCTTGTACTAATCCAGGTCCGTCTAAGATATGAATAGCTGATTGCTGAAGTTCATGCTGTCTGATAGTACAGTTATCTCGTTCCCTTATTATTATCAGATCTGGACCCTGTGGCATCATCCTTCATTTTCTTCTTTCTTCTCTCTGCCATTATTCTGAAGTTACTTCAGAGTCCATGGGGTGACCCATCATGTCTTCATAGGCTCCTGATTCTGTGACTTACCTCCCGCCTCTTATTCTTCTAGTGCTTTCATTTTTATTTCTACTATACCTGCTTTTTGACATTACCAGCATCTCAAATTTGTAAACTGTTTTGTTTTTACTTTCTTTCTCATTGTGCCTCAGTCACACTTTTGCCAGTACCCTCCCTTTGCC